GTCTGGGATTGCGCTCGGCGACGGGAAGAAGGATCGATAGGTAATCAGTCTATCAATCAGCTAGCCGCAAGTCAGATCTCTTTAGAGGCACTCTGCAGCGTGCCCAAAGTTCTTCGACTTGGGCGGAAGTCGCTTGGAATTTTAAACGGTTAGCAAGCCAATCACTAGCCGCCACGTGTGAATAATTTAGAACTAGCCAATAGCGGGACACAAATTTGCATTCGAATAGCGGGAACTTCTTTGCCCCGTGCATTTCTGTGCTGCAAAGAAGAAATGCACCCTGCAAATTGGTGGGAACTCTCTTGCACCGAGGTTCTTCTGCTGCAACAGAAACCCTCGCTGTGCAAGAGGCTCTCATGTGGCAAGAAAATTCCATCATGCCGAGGCACCAAAATCACTGGGTTGTGACACTGATCACTTAAACTGGTTTATGTGTAATGTTTGTCCCTAGCCTTGGTGTCCATCAGGAGTTTCTCTCTTAGCCTGCTCAGGAGCTCCTCTTACATCAGCCTCCAGGTCCAGACTGCTTGCCTAGCTTGGGACCTGTGCTTACGTACACTCTAAGCTTGGCCCCTTGCTGGTCAGGTGACTCCCCTGATCAGGGTTTGAATGGCACTTTGACTCTTGTGGGGGGGTCTGCAAAAAAAATTGGGCTGCCCATTATGATGCCTTAATAAAATCAGAGACCCCCCCCCAGGTTATGATTTTCAAATCCTATAGGGGGGCTATTGTCTTTGGGGGGCGGGTCTCAGCTCCACTGAGCTCCTCCGTGATTTGAACCTTGCCCTTGATGGCTGCCTGAGATTTCTCAGCAGCCTTTCCCCTTCTTAAAGTAAGAAGTGCCCTAAACACCCTGTTAGAGTCTTTAAATCCTGCAGCGGTTTGAAACTTCCTTGAAAATCAGTAGTAATGTGCATGTATGATATGCATATAAATAAGTCAATGTGATATGAAGAAAAGCCCCTTTCCCTCAAAATTTAAAAATAGAACACCAATACTGTGGATGAAATCCTGGCCCTCTTGAAATTAGTGTCTTACCGTTGATTTTGCAGGGCAAACATTTGGCCCTTTTGTTGAATTATTGTTTACCATAGAGCAGAACCGTATAGTAATTATTTTCATGCATCTATTTAATTTAATATAACTAGGGTGGTTTTTCATCAGCTGACTATTTACCCATATTTCTTTGTCTTATTATTTTTCTCTAGATTGGCAAGAATCATGGCAAGCTCTACTACCTGTCTTTTTTTTTTTATTCTACACATTTTAAAAGCAACTGTTCCTTCTTCTTTTCTTCTTTTTTCCTGATTCATACAATTAGGCCTCCATTCCAAATACAATTCTGATGTATGATGCCATCTTCTTCATACTTATAATGCATTCTTTAGGATTTTTTTTAAGTAGGAAAAAAATTGTATAGTTTAATTAAATTGTGGTATTGCAGCAAGTTCCTTACATCATATCATTGCTATGACAGGATTTTATTCTTTGGAGAAAGCATTGCATTGAAACCATCTGTTGGAATATTTATTACCATGAACCCGGGATATGCTGGTAGAACAGAACTACCTGAAAATCTCAAAGCTCTGTTCAGGCAAGTATACAATAGATTAGCATTTAGAGCACTCATGCCACCTAATGTCACTAGCCTAGTTTGCAATGTAAGCCCATTTGTTCTTGCTTTAGAGTTTATGTAAAATATTGAACTCACATATTATTATACAAGCTACTGAAACACATGCAGTTGCTATCAGAAAAGGTTTTTTCTCTTTTTTTTTAACATTTACATACAACTTTAAATTACATCTGTATTTCAGAGTATGGGGATCCAATCCCAAATCATGGGTGTGTACAAGGATACCCCTGTGTCATAAGTATGCACAATAATTTTATGTAGAAATTTGTTCAGGTGGATTAATATGGCAAATTGACAACCTCTAGATTGGTGTAGCCACCCATATCTTCAATAGATATAGGCATTCACATGCACATAAGCATTTCATATGCTGTAATTGAAAAGGTGGCCTATCATTATAGTTGATAAACTGGTCAGAGGTTGCTGAGCAGACCTGAATCAGAAGCACCGTAAACATTTATTTTGTGGCTTTTTAGGACAACCTGTTATTTTTCTTAAAATACATATATTGCATTTACATCATACTACCTGTCTGTCAAAGACTATTACAATTTAAAAAGTGTAAATCTGACCTTTTGCTTGCCTATTATCACTTTTAAAATCTCCCTTTACATTTTGCCCCAATCACTTTCACTGGTGGTATTTGCAAAACTGTATGACAGTAGAGTTGCAAGAATTAAATATCCTCAGCATAAGCAGGTGCTCTTCTACTGTAATCAATCAAATGTCAGTCATTTATGCCAACAGTGTATTTGATCCTAAAATAAGAGTTTGGAATGATCAGAAAACCATAGGGTTAGAAAGGACCTGATGAGTCATCTAATTCAACCCGCTGCACAGGTCCAGGATTCACTGTTCCTAAAACATCCAAGACAGATGCTTATCCACCTCTTTCTTGAAAGTTTCCAGTGAAGGAAACTTCTCGACTGTCTTAGAGACTTGTTACATTGTCTTACTGTTTATATACATAAGACGTTTCTTCTGAGATGTAATCTAAATTTGTTTAGCAAAGTGGTAAGCAAATCTGACCCAGAATTTTCTGTCCTAGAATTGGTTTAATATATATCGTAATTATTTGAATACAAGATAAGGTTCCCCGCCCCATTGGCATGGGGGCAAAAAGCTTCTCATCTTATAACCTATAATTGCATACAAGGAAACCTCATTAAATACATTGTCTGTCACTAAGCAGGATGTGCTCAGCAATGGAAATCAACTATGAAGTTGATTAAATGAAACCAACACTGAGTATGACTATAAAATATGTGGGCCATATTGGGCAAATATTTTGATGGGAACCTACCACAAAGATAGATAAGAGCAGCCTATATGAGTAAGAAAAATGTTAGTGCCTATTGTATTCAGCCTCCCTCAGTGCCAACTCCTTTTCAAGTCATGGTGAGCCACTACATTTCATACATTTTTACTGAGCTGTGCCTTTCTTTCCCATTTCCAATGATTCGTGTTTCTTCACCAGTCCTAAATGCCGGCAAACATCACAAAACAAGATCCCAAATAGTTCACCCAGAATCCCTCTGTCACCCGCTCTGTCAGCCTGTCACTTACGATTAGTGTGTCCCCACCTTCCATGGGGTAAAGCTAGACCAGGTTGCCCTGCACCTCATTTGCATATAGATTTTTAGAGGATCGCCAGGCTAGTGACAAGAACACCCAGTTTCAGTCATGAGTGGCAGACTAATTAGGACATGCATCCTTTGTGTGAGGAACACACGCACACATACTGACCAGTGTTGAACTGTGGGGTCATTATAGCTTGAAATCCTTTTGACTCTGTTGGGGCTCAGCCCAATGAACTGTATGGTAAATCATTAGCCTTTTGGCTTTGAACTAATATCTTGCATAGTTTTTACTGTGTATAAGTAGAGGCCAAAGTGGTGCTTAAAAGTGTGTTTATGGAGCACCTGTGCTAAAACTTGCAGCAATTAAAAAAAAAAAAAAAAAAAGATAACATACATCAATTGTGGATGAACTAAGCATATGATTACTACAGCTATGTTTAATTACAAGGTCATTGTTTTCAAATTTGCTTCACACATTTCCACGTGCTCAGGGAGAGAAGGGTCTCAGTAAGGAGAAGGGGAAGGGGCTGCTGGGGAAAGCAGTTGGGGCGGGGGGGAGGGAAGCAGAGGGCAAAGGGACTATCTGACTAGGGCTATGCGAAATGGCTGTGTTTTGATTTGTTTTCAGATTCAGCCATTTCGGAGGACAGCAATTCGCCCTGCAGGGAACAGAGATCTGGGGCAGCACGAGGTGGACAGTGGCAGGGAGGAGACCCCCAAGTGGATCTCTGCTTCCTGCAGAGCCAGGTCATGCAGCAGGGATTGCCCAGCCCCTGGTTCAATCCCCCAGCTCTCTGATCATTCCCCCAGCCCCGCAGATCTGTACGCTGGGTTTCAGCAGGCTGCCACTGTAGGCTGGGGCCAGTGGCAGCATCTCAGTCTTCCTAGTGCTCGGCACACCCTCTGCCAAGCAGCTGTTGCTGGCTCCAGCCTGCGGCAGCAGTCTGCTGAAACCCCGCACCTGGGAAGAGCTGGAGAAATTATCAGAGAGCTGGGGGAAGCAATCGAAGAGCTGGGGAATGATGTCAATATCAGAGCAGTCCTTCCCTCCCTCTTTCCCCTCCCTGTTAGTTTTTGTTTCACTGCAAGCCCGGTTCCAAAATTCTCCGAAACATTTCTGAAATGTTTCAGAACCTTCTGATTCATTTCAGAGTTGTTTCAAAGCCTTCCGTTTAGATTTGGATTCAGTGTTTTGGGTGTCGAAACAGCCTGAGACACCTCTGAAATGAAAGAGCTGCTGAAATTTGGCACAGCCCTATATCTGACTCCCCAGATTTATTTTCCCTGCTGTAACATTGGGAGGTGAACAAATTCAAGGCAAACCTCCAATAATTAGAGTCTATACCTGGCAAATTATAACACATTTGAAAATTTTCTATATATAAAATCTAATTATTAGGGGGTCATCTTATAATCAGAGGCATCTTCTATTCATGTAAACATGGTATATCAGAGGGTGGGGTGACAACTTGCAGAATCTCACAGCAAAGTACAGTGGCTGCAGCAGGGAAAAACACAAAATATAAACCACTCAGTTTTAAGAACAAAGTGAGTGTTAGTTTTATAGTAAAGACGCCATCGCTATATACAACTTTTAAGTTAATGTTATTTTCCAGGCAACTGATTGCTTACTTGCCCCAAAGGCATATTTATTATATTAGGTAGGATAACTGTTTTTTAAAGATAAATCTTCATGTTTTAAGACACAAATCATTAACGGAGAACTGGGAGAAATTTTCCCTTTAACTGCCCTCTTCATGGTTTCTTGCACTTACTTTGAATCACTTGGTGCTGACCCCCATTGGAGAAGTATCTGGATTGTATGAACTACTGATCTCAACATTGCAGTTCTCCTTCATGATTATTAGTGGGAGCAGATGTTTTCAAATTTAAATTACACTATCTGTTAGTCTATAGTCAATCCTGTGGAAAAAATTAAGAACTTTCCCTTTATTATACTGCTCAACTAGTGTCTTTATGAGAGGTCTCTCTGTCGCCATCTCCATTTTTTAGTCTCTTTTTTGGTTTTGTTAACTGAGAGGTATTTTAATTAATACTGTTTTAATGGCTAGATGGCTCATGATTCTGTTTTCTGTTTTAAAAATGGAGAATGATTTTTCAAACCTATACAGTCCTTCAGGAAGAGAATATGCTTTTAAAAAAGCAAATCCAAAATGGTGAACATCTATACAGAGTGGTGATACTCTGAGCTCCCCATATGCAGTGTGTGTTGCAGTAACTGGTGTGGCGGGCCAGTAGGGGGTGCTCCTGCACTGAGCCACCCACCTCACTGTGCCTGACCACCTTCCAAGCTCCAAGTGCCTCCCTGGGGGTGCTTCACATCCAGCTGACCCCCATCTTGGATCCCACTTGCAAGCCTGGGGGTGAGGCTACCACCACCCAGAGTCTGGACTGATCTAGGACCTGCGCCCTCTGGGAAACACAGGCCTAGTAGTCCTTGAGGGTACTTGACCCACTGCAAGAATTTGGGGTCCTTCTCTTAGTCTGAAGCACAAATAGTGGCCTCCCTTAGTCAGCCAAACCAAGGGGACCCCAAAGCATATTCCAGACCCTCTCCCAATAAGTCTCCCACTCTAGGTACAAAAGAAAACTTTATTTGTTATGAGGACTAGGTTTGGAATAGAGTACAGGGTAGAGCAATATCAGAGAAATACCTTGGAGCAAACAGTGGCATGGTAGCCTTTGATCACACAGCTGAGTTACTGCAAGCTATATATCTAGTTAGATCTCGGGTAACTTGCTCACAATTATCATCCAGATGCAGGTGGGGATTCCCTCTGGAGGTAAACAATTCATTGATCATGAGTTTCAAGAGAGAGAGAGAGAGAGTTTCAGATCATCCAGCTTCTCTGAAAGTGCTCATCATGGCTACTGCCCCTCCTCCTGGGCAGTCCTTCACTTATAGCCCTTATGACCTCATTTACCTGATCCAAAGAAGGCCAGCAACTGTTGGCTGCCAGCCAACCAATTTGAAATGCATCACTGGTTGGCGGATAGACTGACAAGGTCTTTAACCCCCTCCTAGTCATGTTGGCACAAATAGGGAGTTTAAGCCCCCCACCCAGATATGTGATGCCAGTCATGTAAGCAGAGGGAGCAGGTTTCCCCCTCCCTCTGGAATGTATCCAGCTCAGGTTACAACTCAGGGTTACCTGAAGCAGATGAGACTAGAGGAGTCTACCCTCTGCAGTGACCATGGTAACCAAATTGTCAAATAGCAGAGTTTGGGAAGGGACAGAGAGAGTATTCTGCCACAACCTGCCAGTCCATCACAGTCCATCCATCTGACAGTGTCAGATATTGTTCCTATGTGCTGGCACTGAGGCCTTCCAGTATTTGACTTGAAAGCCCTGCTCTTTTCAGCTGTCTCTTTTGTATATAGCAATGTTACTGAATCCTAATAATCAACAGTGCCTAATTAGCCATTTTTACTTTGAAGTAGAGTTCTTGTTAGCTCTGACTGACACCCTTAATTGTGACTCTCGAGCTCTGTTTAAAACTGTTTGTACACATCAGTCACTTGCTTTAGGTGACTTGTTCTTACCATGCTTAAATACTAATGTTTGAATTTGGGTTTTTTTAGACCTTGTGCCATGGTTGTCCCTGACATTGAGCTGATCTGTGAAATTATGTTGGTTGCTGAGGGTTTTATTGATGCACGCTTGTTGGCCGGGAAGTTTATTACCTTGTATACTCTCTGCAGGGAACTGCTTTCTAAACAGGTGAGGGTCTGTTTTGGGCTTTGGGGTTTAATATATGCTAATTAACACCAAATACTCGAAAATAGGGATATTGACCAGTCTAATTTTCATAAGGCTTTTCTTGTAATTTTCACGTGTTTTAACAAAAAAGATATGTATGCTCACTTAATCTGATGTCTAGCTAAATGGATCTAATAATTTAAAATAGTGCCACTAGGCATGCAGAAGAAAGTGCCTTTTTAACTTGCTGTATTTGTGATGTGTTATGTTTTTAACATATAATTGTGTATTAACTGTTAAGTATCTACTGCAGCTGAACTAAAACATGCTAGTCTACGCATCCACACTAGAAATAATAGGCAACTGAGAGGAAAACATTTAAGTATATAGACAAACAGGAATTTGATTATTTGACTCTCTCTGCTTGGATGAGTGTTTAAAACATGCTACATAAATACAGTAAAGGATAGTTTGATGCTTAGAAATATATTATTGCTATTTATATAGTAAATGTTATTGGGAAGAATGCTTATGCATTTTTCTTACAAAAAAATTATTTTAAGATTTAGAGGATCTGCTTTTTTCCCTGGATTTGTACTAATTATTTCTTTCCAAAGGTGTAACTATTTGCATGTAAATATAGTCTTAACATTGATTTTTATTAGTAGAATAAAAACAGTAGTAGTAGTCAGACCACCCCTCCGCCTCTACCCAGTTGCAAATAAAACCATTATATTTTAACTTCATTTTCATCTCGTCTACTAAATATGCCAAAATTCACCTATCACATATTTAAAACATAGCTAGATCTGATTTCTTTGAAATCTTTTGTTGGTATGTGCTTATTAGGGACTGATGTCTGAGAATAGGACTGGAAGATAGGAAATTTTGGCTCTAGTTCCTGCTGTGATGTAGGGTCATCTTATGAATTAAACCAACCATTTAACTAGAGCTATTTGAAACTTGGGAATTTCTGTTCAGGAAATTCCAATATTAAAAAAAAAAATGTTCATCCCAGGGAACAAGAGGCATCTCAGAAAGTCCACTGAAGTGAAGTAGGGAGTCTATAAAACCTCAAGGGCCCTGGTTCCAGCCAGGGTTTCCAAGGCAGGTAGATACCCAGCTGCTTAACATGGAACCTGGGAGCCCTGAGAAACCCCAGGCTTCCAGACCCTGAGCCTATAACAGGAAGTCCAGAAGCCCTGAGGGCCAAAGCTCAGGTCATCCAGGTTCTCTACTGGAGAGCTGGGCACATGGATAGGGGAGCCCTAGCTCAAGTTTGGGTTCTGAAGGTCACGAGACTCATAGCTCCTTACCAGATGTCCTGAGAGACTTGAGTCCAGCTCTTCAGCAGTCTGTGTAACATGGCTGAAGCTCTAGTCCTTAGATGCCTAGCTTGAAAAACACCAGTGAGCTCACAGGAAACCAGGCAGGATTCTGATGGATCTTTCACTGAGTTTAAGCACAAGTTCTTGAACAGCAAGATGTTTACATGAAACTTTGACTTCAGTGAACATCGACTGAACTTCCATCATTCTTTTCTTTGGTCTGAAAATTTCTTACCAACTCTCTGCCTAATCTCTTTACCAGCTCCTTCATAACTCTAAAATACAAATGCTAATATTTACTACTAATAATTGTCCCCTTGAGGTACCACAGATGTTCTTCTGAAGTTAGCTTTATATTGTAAGATGTAAATTATTCTAAAGGGATTATTAGTATTAATTTTGTTGTTTCTCTCTAAAAGTTGCTCTGGACAGTTGGCTCATTCTTGCAGTATGTCATTGTCAAATCTCTCTCACCCTTTTTAATTTGTACTATACTGAGCCCTGATTATTTACAGCTGCTTGTTGGGTTTGTCATTTGATATAACCAAGTAGGATATATTTTTAGCACACTCACAGTGTGATTAAAGGTGTTACTAATTTGTGTAACTATGTCTGAACTAACTTTAAACTAACTAGCCGAAAATTGTGATCCAGGGCTCCCCCTGCATCATCAATATGTTGTCATCAGGATATGATCCCTGATCCCACAATCACACCTCCTGTCATGCATACATAGTAAGTGTGAATTTGGGGATCACACATTGGATCCCATCCTGTCTTTAATTGAATGTCTGCCAGAGGCCATAGGATCAGTTGTTTGATATGCGATGGGCACCCTAGAACCACTTAAGTAACCTGTATGTCATAAAAGGGGGCAGATACACTTCCTCAGCATTATATTAAGGGAGTGATGTCAACTTCTTAAATCCATTCCTTCATTTGTCATGTGTTTGCTTGTATGTCCTAATAATTGAGTTGTGCCATTACCTTCACTGTAGTCATGATTTCACCTTCAGTTTATACTTTTATGACTCTTACTGGCTTTTATTACAAGATTTTAATCAGAGAAATCGCGTTCAAAATGGCTTAAAATTTTTCAGAGAGAAACATTTTAACACTACTAGTGTCAGCATTGACTTTGAATCCTCTGATGACATTTCACCATGCAAAAACGGAACAAAACTGTAGAATCCTTGATTTTTTTTATTTTTTATTTTTTAAAGAAAAGGCAAGAATTCTTTTGGGTGATTATCTTTTACTGGACCATGTGCATAGCTGGGATGAAGTTAGCCAAGCTTTCAAATGCAAGGCATTCCTTCATCAGGTACCTTGCATTTGAAAGCTTGGCTAACTTTAAAATGCATTCCTTTTTCTAGGACCATTATGACTGGGGACTTCGTGCTGTTAAATCAGTTTTGGTAGTTGCTGGCTCACTGAAACGAGGGGACAAGAATAGACCTGAGGATCAGGTAGGTACCTCATTTTAAATGTAAATATGTACAGTGAATGATAGGAGCTGCCACTATTTGGTCTCTGTGAATAAAGCCAGAATCTTCAAAAGAGAGGAAGTATTTAAAGCCTTCACTGATATGATAATATGAAATTTACCATCCTTTTCCAGGTACTAATGCGAGCCTTAAGAGACTTTAACTTGCCTAAAATAGTGACAGATGATATCCCAATTTTCATGGGCCTGATCAGTGACCTGTTTCCAGCTCTGGACGTTCCGAGGAAGAGGGACCTACAATTTGAACAGATGGTTAAGCAGTCTACCCTGGAGCTTCACTTGCAGCCTGAGGAGAGCTTTATTCTCAAAGTAAAAGAATCCATTGCTTTTAATTACCTCCCTTAAGAGTTTCAATCAAAATAATTGCAAGTGAATTGTATTAGACATGAAGGTTAACTTACAGCACCTTGTAGTGTTCCTCAGGTGTGCTGAAAGTCAAGGTATTTCAAAGACATTTTGTCAAAACAACATACTGCAGTTTAAGATGAAAAAAAATCAGCTTTGTGAATAGGTAATATATTCTGCTTTTTGGAAACAGAAATGTCTCTCTCTCTCTCTCTCTCTCAAACTTCTTCCCAGCATCCAAGGTTATCTTTACTGTATAATAGCTTTCCAGTACTAACACTTTAACACCACCAACTACAATTTTATCATTATTATTATTTAAAGTACATTATGTGGTATTTATTTTAGGTAAGACTCACTGAATGACATTGATATGTAATGCAGTAGGAATATGTGAAAGGGAGGACAAGGTTTATATAACTAAGATCGTGTGGTTAGGTAGGTTAGTATTGTCCCTGTTCCATGGTCAGCTATGGGGTTCATATACCTTATTTTATATGATATAAGATGCATGTATGCTCTTTATAATTGTGTACTATAAAGACCTCTTATTTGGAGCAGAAGTTTGCTATTTAGTAAGAGACTTTCATGAAGCTGAAGAAGTGCCTTTTGTTTTTTGTGAAATTTTACTGAGGTTTGGCTGCAGTGCTGCCAGATCTTGAAAGCAGCAATTCACCAGATATAACCTCAAAAAGTCATTAGATGTAATTAGGAAGATCTAAATTTGTAAAAAAAAGTCAGTAGACAAATTACGAAATATTAGCATAGTAAAATGATAACAAGATCCTTAATGTATACATTTTGTTGCTAGGAACACCAAAAATCTACTAGATCTAGAGACAAAATTGCAAACTTGGTAATACTACTTGGCCAAAATATAGCATTACAAATCAAAGCTTCCCTTTCTTCTTTGGAAAGTTTCATAATTTTAGCAGGATCCAAGGCCAGATTCATACTACCACTGCCAAAGCAAGGCAAGCGTGTGTTATAGTGGTAATCCTACAGAGTTGCTAGATCATCTGTAGCAAGGACAAGAAAATGGGAATAGAGCTGAGCTGGGGTCCTTATGCTATAAACCCTCAATTTGGGCCCAGAGAGCTCCTTCTTCCATCTCATTGGAGATGAAGCCTGAGCTCTCCAAGCTCCTAGGCTAAATACAGACAACCTGAGGCTGAATTGATTCAGTCTTTGCAGGTTAGTCTAAGATGCAGAGATTAAACTGAGAAACAACTGGACAGACATTCACTTTTGATTCAGGAAATGCAGCCACATACCTGCAGTGGCTAAGGCCAGAAGCCAAGGGGCACTAGAGCACAGCTCTCTGGCATGTAGCCAGCATGGGCTGTGTGTTGGTTCCTGTTCCTGCTGCTTCTGAGGTCTCTGGGATTTGCAGTCCACAATCACAGCAGCAGGATTCTTCAGGGTTGCTCATCACTTCCTCTTCCTGCTTCCAGGTGCCTCTGGAATTTGGAGTCCACAGTTGCAGTTGGTAGTACATTTTTAGCAGGGCAGGGAAGCTCTGTACTTGGGGGAAGAAAAGTTTAACCCCCTTCCCTCGCCCCAATCTTCTGGGGTTTTCCTGGCCAAGAAAGTCTCTGCTGCTTCTCTGCTGGAGCAGATAGCACAGGGCTGGAAAGCATGCTGGGGGACTTTGATTTAACTTGAACAGGAAGAGGTCTGGAACAGAAGTTTCATAAACCAGTGTGACCCAAATCAGTTAGGTATGATACTACATTCAACCAGGTTTATCTTAAACCAGTTTCAGCCATTCTGGAACTGGTTTATGTGCACTGAACTTCTGTTCTGTTACAGGTTTAAACCAGTTTCTGATGACTTAAAATGGTGTAATTTCTGTTCCTAGCCCTAGGGGGGAAAAGAGGGATGGGTACTGTTTTGTCAACCACACCCTATACCTGGAGCCAGAAGTATTGGCATTCCCCTCCACTTCAGAAATTTCTTGGAGCAGGAGCTCCCCATCTCCTGTGGTCAGACAAGAACTGAGCTAGACTAAGTTAGGTTTCTTCCTTTTCTTAGTCAGCACATATCCAAAATTGCTTTATCCTTCTACTAGCTATAGTTTTTCTTATTGTGGAGCCTGGACAAGTTGCAGTCTGTGGTGTAATGCTAAAGATTCATGGTTCAAACTTTATTGATGGTGCATGATTGAAGAGTGGGGCACGTTATATTTTGTTTTTACCTTTTTTGGCTATGGACAGAAGTTACACATAAACCAGTTTAAGTGATCAGAAACTGGCTTAAACCTGGAACAGAACAGAAGCTCAGTGCACATAAACCAGTTTAAAAATGGCTGAAACTCATTTAAGATAAACCTGGTTGAATGTAGTATCAGACTTAACTGATTTGGTTCAAACTGGTTTCTGAAATTCTGTCTCAAACCCCTTCCTGGTTCAAGTTAAATCACAGTCTCCCAGCATCCTAGCATTTTGCAGCCCTGGGCTGGACAGTCTGCTCCAGAGAGGCAAGGCTGACCCTGCTCCCTAGCTGGAGCAATGAGAGCTGGCTGACAAGGGAGGGGGGCAAGCCCAGCTCAATGAGGGCTGGCTGACAAGGCGGGTGTGGGGAGGGCAAGCCCAGCTAGGGAAGCAGACACTCTGCAGGGGGACAACTGCACCCCTACACTCCTCCCCAGACAAACCCTGGCTGTGGGCTGGGGTCAGGGAGGGCAGTTAAACTCACCTCCCCTACTCAAACTTACTGCTGGCTGCAGCTGTGGACTACAAATCCCAGAGACACCTGGAAGCAGGAAGAGGAAGTGATGAGCAACCCTGCAGAGTCCTGCTGCTGTAATTCTGGACTGCAAATCCCAGAGACCTCAGGGGCAGCAGGAAGAAGTGAACACACAGCCAGAGAGTTGTGCTCTAGTGCCCTCTGTCTTCTGGCCTGGGCCACTGTGAGCATGTGGCTGCATTTCCTATATCAAAGGTCTGTTCACTTCTGTTTCAATTTAATCTGTGCATCTTAGACTAACCTGCAAAGACTGAATCAATTCAGCATCGGGCTTTTTGACCACCCAGATGTATATAAAATGAAGGACAGATGTTTTGGCAGGTGTGCACAAATTAGCTCCACACTCTCCCTGAGTGCCACTGTTATCCTTTTTCTCTGCTCAATTTGCTGCTCTGCTTTCTGTTCTCAATTTTGTGCTCCTTGCCTGATCTCCTGCTCTGCCTTTTGCTTCTTGGCTTACTTGCTGCTATGCTGCCAGTCTCCTTCCTGATCTATTGTGTGCCACATGGAAAGGCTACCCATGCCACCTGTGGCACTTTTGCTGTAGGTTATCCACTCTGATATAACATATTACACAAAACCTACATTAAAGTGTAATGCTATTAAGGTCAAAACATCCAGCATTCAAAAGTTAGGGAATGTTGGATTTATGGTTCCCTGTGCCAGGAGCATTATGGTTCACACTGTAGATATCTGATCATGTATTGCTTATTCTAGAAGGCATCCCCTTGATTTAATTCAAAGGATGGATGCAAAAAAGTGGTTAGACATAGTCACACAGGCATTGCCTAATTTTTAAGTGCTTGACTTTCCAACCTAAATACGTTCTTTTAACATTTTTTTTTTGTTTTTCAAAAAATAAAAAGTGTCTCTGATATGAAAGCTATAAAGGGTAAGCTGAGATATTGTTTGGGGAGTTCTTGTTCTGTTGGAGTTTAATATCCTATTGTTTTTATAAGTTATGTGTTTTGGTCTCCTGTTCTTTCTCATATTTTATAAGTTTCTTTTCTACTCTTCTAGAATCATCCTGAGCCATGTTTGGGGAGGGCAGTTTATACATCTAATTAATTAATTAATTAAAAAGAATATTATTAAGGTAGCAAAGTGAAGCACTCAAAGGTTTGGAAATGTCAATACTGTACTAAGGTTGCCTCTGCAAACTTAATTTGGTCCCCTACTACATATATATTATGACGCAGTCTTTAATGATATTTATGTACTTCTCTTCCATTAGACAATATGATTCTTTCACAGGATCAGTTCACAGCACAAAACTCACTTAATGAGGAGCTATTCAATGTTTTGTTTTTTCATTGTTCAATATATAGCTCCATGCCCTATTTACCACACTATTCAAACTGTGCCTGAAAGCCAGAATTATTAATTTCCTCATGGGCTTTTCATGGCATATAGTATAAGTGCTTCCCAAACATTAATTTTATTTTTACTGCACCCCTGTGAAATAGGATGGCCATTATGCAGATGGCTGAGAGACAGAGATTAAGGTCAAAAGTACCCATTTATTTTGGGTGCCAATTTGAAATACCAGTGACCAGATTGTATATGTTTAAATACACTTCTTATTGGTTTCATTGCAGGTTTGAATGGTCAGGACTGGGGGTGGGTGGGTCAAATTTACAGGAGAGCTCAGGAAGGTGGAGCCCCCCCATAAGAGATGAAAACACCCCTGTAAGATTTGAAAATCATAACCAATTGGATTGGTCTCCAATTGGATTGCTCTTTCCAATGAATTGGTTTAATTTTTTGCAGACCCCCCAAGAGTCAAAGTGTAATTCAAACCCTGCTCAGGACTTCTACAAATCTGAGGGTATAATTTTGGGTACCCAGAAAATGAATACCTTCTACATGATTTTCCATGCAATATTTGGATTTAAGGGGCATGCATATTATCATGTAGGAACTTATATGGCAAAAGAAGGAATAGAACCTAATTCCTTGAAGATGGTATTCATTCCCCTTTAAACATGAGAAGATCCTTCCTCTTGCTAATTCGTCTTATAGATTCCTTCTTCCAGCACCTGCTCCCACCCAACAAGGATCACCATAGGGAAGCATCAGGAGCAGGTGCAGGAAGAGGAAACCTTCTAACTGCCACCAGTGTTCCTAGTGAAGACCAGCACCCAACACAGCTGCTCCCTGCAGCCTGTGGCTGGAGTGGTGTAGGATTGGGCCTGTGGACTCCCCTACAGTCAGGT